TACTAACAAAAGAATGAAGATTGTAGTCATGGTGTAAAGGGAGCATTTGTAACAGAAAAAGATTACTTTTGTTCACATTGGGGCATCTAGTGATAATATCAGGAATCACACGACGTAGGCAGGGCACACCCAGTGCAGCTACATTCTTAATAACACACTATAGTTGAGGAAACATTTTGCAAGAGACGTGTGTTGTGCGTTGTACAGTATAAATGAATCTTTTTTGTTTTAACATATATTAAACATACTGTAAAGTCAGTACTATGAAAGTCTTGAGTCACACCTCATGTCTTTATATTTAGCTTCTAATGGGTGAGTTAAAAAAAAAAAACCTGTCAAAAAGCCATTCTTCAGAAAAGGCAGATGCACATTAAATTACATAAGAACTGTATTGAAAATCACTGGTAACATGCCTGATGGAGGAATGACATTTTTTGGTTTACATTTTTTTATATGGAGGAGGTCAGGAGAGAGGTACAACAGTGAGTGTCTGCAGCTGTCTGTAAGACACGTAAGGCTCTGTCATGTTTACACAGTGGTGTTGAAAATCTTATCAAAGTTGATGTAATTATTAACACAGTAAAGGTACTGTCAGATTTTGTTTGTCCATGCAATACTATGTGTTGACAGTTTCAGCATTAAAATGATTCCAAAGATACTATTACTACAGTTAAAGAGTAGAAGAGAAGAAAAAACCACAACATTATTGAAGCATTATTATCCAATCATCCTGACAGAGAGTGGAGCAGGAGGCAGACAACATCCAAAAAAGAGCTTTGAATGTCCTTCAAGAAGTTATTCTTCAAAAGACTTGACAACTGCTTAAAGGAATTACAATAGAAAGTTTGACTATGTGAGTTAAGGCTGAAGTTGGCCATTACACACAACAACTTTTTACCAAAGCATCAGAACCAGATAGCTAAACTGTGTCCAACTCAGCATGAACTTGTTGGATTGTTAGCAACACACCTGCTAAAAGAGATTTCCCATTTTATTCCTGAGGTGTTTGTCTATATTTTGTTGGTCGAGTTTCCCTCAAGTCTAAAGACATGTAAGTCCTGAAATTCCACTTTTTTAGAATGAAAAATTGTCCCTCCTACCAGGAGCACAGCAAAGTATGTGAGATGGTCACAGGAACAGGTGACATTATTCTGACCACGAGTCCATAGAGTAATGCATCCATCCTCACTAAAAGCTGATACATCAGAAATAGAGATCAGTTATACATATACTGACTTGTTTTTATATCCAAGTCAGATCAGCTCAGCTTTGTGATCTTAAGACAAACCACAAACAACAATGACTGAAGTTTATTTAAAAAAATATTAATGTTTTACATTATTCTTGGCAGATGTGATGCTTGGTTACTCACTGTTTGTTGAGAAGTTAATGAACTGACACGAGGGTTCTTGGGTGTCCTGTGACACAGAAATATTGCATGTTTAAATACTATATATGCCTACCTTTTTTTTTATTAACTTTTGCTAAACAAAAGATAAAATATATTTAATAATATAATATTGTAAAAGGCACATCTGCAGTAAATGACAACATTAAGTACATTTAT